TATAACCTTGACTTTGGCTATACACTTATGCTCAGAAAAGTAACCAACCCAGTCGCAGGAGGGTATAGGATTGGGTAGAAATGGAATACACTTAAACCTTGACCCCCTAGGAAAAGAAGTATTTGATCTATTCTCAGCACTCGAGAACTATCAATTTGGTTTCGTATGTTCACACATACATACATGCACGCACAATACCATTAAAAGATGTATACCAATGCAAGGAGACAACGTAAGCAAACAATCAAATTCTTCTATCCTCATCGTCGGTTGATTTGTGTAATGAATGTGTTTATGTAAGAAAATGAGCTACGTCTTAAGGACTCCCTTGGTTTAGACTAGCAGGAATAGACGTACTATTTAATTTTATTAACTCTTGTTAGACTCGATTTTGTCACTAGAATTCTTCCCTCTTCTTACAATGCCTGTCTAAAGACATGGAAGACTAAGACTCTGGCCGTTTAGTAGGGGTTTCTTCATGAAGGCGTCAAACTGAACTTTCCATTTCAGCAAAGCGACAACAAGCCAAGCATAACTGACCATCGTCCTCCAATGTGACCGACTTTAGAATGATTTTGGCACATTTCTACACTCTAAATGAAGGCTAAGTCAACAAATTTTGGTCTACCGGCTAAGCCTGCCCTTGACTATGCAAATCATAAAAAATAGCTTCTGTTTGTCACTCTTAACCAGCTTTACTAACGATAATTTAGAGAATTTATAACGTACACAAGAATCCCTGATCTATCATAAGAGCATTGAGTCTATCAAACAACCAAAAAGCAGCCCTAGTCCATGAAGACTATTCTTTTAATGCCTTGGCTGTTTTTTCGTAGATGATTTTAGTACTACTATTATAATTATTATATATTATTATTAATACTGGCCATAAAAAAAGAAATTCACAAATTTAAACGTAAAATAAATTTACCTAAGAGATCGAACTGGTTGCTTGAAAAATAGCAAAATCATATGTCGCTTTTTAAAAGGGTTAATTCTGCATTCATAACTTGGAAGAGCTTGTAAATGCCAAGATCTTGTCTCAACAAATTTGAGAATTTAGCAAAAACCAAAAATTCTAATTTGACCTTATGAATCCCAGTATAAAATAATTTAGGATAACTATGTTGTAGCCTGTACTGGGCTCATCTGCAGATAGAGGCAAATTGCTTGACCTTGTGGACTCGACGGCCAAAAAGAAGAGGTTTTTAATTTGGATAATTCGACACTTCTCCTAAAGTTATTTCGATATATCCCAATCGGCATGGATACTCAACAAAAAAATATTGAATATTAAGGCAGATGACCTTGAATGAGCATATATTAAGCAAACTTGCTTGCTTCGTTCTTTAATTCATGTTTATCGGGCCAATTTTTAAAGTATAGTAAAAAGATGATTTCTGCTAAATCATAAACTCACAATGTTTAATGCCTTCTTCTCTTTAGGTAGTCTCAAAAGCTGCGTTGCAATGCCTGCGTGAAAAAATTTTGGAGGCCTACGACCAAAATGAGGATGGAAGAATCGAAATAGGCGAAGCAAGTATTCATAAGGAAAAATATTTATTGCCCATGAATATCTTATTAGCCCATATGATAAATACATCCATAGTTTTTATTTGCAGATTTAGAGGCTTGGAGAAATGTTTTTGTTATGACAGACATGGTGAAAAATAGGAGCATGACGTAGAGCAGAAGACAAATTCAAAGTAAATGATGTTGTCTCTGACGTATATTCCGGTTTTATTAGGACTGCGCAGCCCAGATAAAACAGATTATCCTCCGTAGGTGAGGATTAATATTGAGGGGCCTATGGCAGACCATAATCAGCGAAGCGTTTATCAAGTGGGCAGAAAGAGTTTGTAACAATAAAAGCTTTTCCATGAGAGGAAAAATATAGAGAAGAGAGGCATTCGATAAAAAGCATTAAGGAGATATCACACAGTTGGATGCACTTTCACTATTTTAAAAAGTAGATATAAAATTCTTTTTGAGCAGATTTTTACTTTATGTGAATATTTATGATAAACGAATTAGTAATTCGATTTCTCTATAAGACGGCCGATCTTCCCTTCTGGGAATTTACAGTTGACTAAGTCCCTGAATCGCTTCTTTCGGCTTCGATATGAACATTCTTAACTCTCGTTAGTCCAGTCACTTTGCAAAAAAGATTAGATCTGGAACTCATTTTTATTACGATTTCAAGCTTAAGGATCAGGAAAACTCAATCGGTTAATCATTAAACATCATAAACTTACAAAAAATAATAATTTATTACGATATAGCATAATATAATTATTTAATGTTTATGTTCATCTATGCATGCAACGTTATGCATGTCGGTGCCTAAGGGCATGAAACCTCAGCAAGCGGGTTGACTAGTAAGAAAAGAGCCTAAAACCATCATCCAAATTCGACATAAATGCTTTTGTCGAGCTCAGATAATACCCTCAATATGATTGCGCATGCATGCATACACACAAACATAATTAGGTATATATACATACATATATATATATATATATATATACTTTAATAATTTATATAATGTATAGTGTCTAGAGATGAGCCGATTGAGTTTTTAAAATCTGATATAACCTTTAATTTGTGTGAATGGGTTCTGGGTATGATGAGCTCTG